CTTACATTTAAACATTTCCCACCTCTCAGTTTTGCACTACATTTTCTGACTAGTTTTTTCCTTTTAAATATATGAAGTGAATATATTTTGCTTTTTTAAATATCCCAGATATATAAATGGATGCTTGTATACGCATCATTAGCTACAATGCTCAAGTATGCAAGTTTCCATGAAACGGCTTTGTATTAATAGCAGCAGATTAGATGGACTACAAATCTACGGAATTATCTATGAGTATGTGTATTTATGGACTTAGGTAATTTATTCAGAATTCAGGAGAGATGCAGAAAGGAAAGAAATCTTATACCAGAGAGACTAGAAAAAAATGGAGACTATAAATCCAAACGAAAATTACCACAGAACTGTTGGAAAAAATTTACTCCTCTGTCACTAGATTAAGGAATACTAGGAATAAAGAAAGGCATTACACATCACCAAACAGCTAGCTGAAAACTTAATGCAAATTGAGGAGGAATAGGACTTCCAGCAGTGCACAGGAGCAATCTTCAGGTCACACCAGGGGAAAAAATACCAGCTTTTCCTTTTCAGAAGCACCAGATCTGGTATCATGCTACAGAGAACAGCTCAGATGCAGCCACACCTGACCATCAGTTGGAAAAGGCTGCTTAATCACAGTTGTCAGAGAAAAGACAGACACAGTGGGAACGAGGAAAGGCTGCCAGTAAAGCAGGTCAGGAGAAGGGATAAGAGAGTCATATCTATTTAAAGATCTGATTCTACAAGAACTATTATTAATAATTTCCCTCTGTAAGATGACACATAAATCTTTACAGTAGCAACTGCAGACCTAATAGGCAAAGAATATAAGGGGGGCAATGGTTTTTGTAGGGAAAGGTAAGGTCTTTTATTAGAACAGCTGGGGGAAAAAGGAAACAGAGTAGACAGAAAACAATCTGGATTTAGAGTCCTTCCAGTTTTACCCATCAAACACTGAGGAAGACCATTCACCACCCTGTAATGGCGTGATATTATCAATAGTATCAATACATATAGAATGCAGACTCTAGCCTCTCTATGTGACTTGTTGTGGTGTTGGGAAAATACCTTAGAAAGAGAAGTACTGAGACCAAACTAGTATCTTTCCCACCTGTTCCCCCATCTTAGCTAATCTCAGTGGGAGCTGACAGCATTTTGCTTGATGTGAAGCAGAAAAATAGATAAATATTTTACATGACAGCCACAATTAATAGAAAGAAATTAATGAGTCCCCTTTTAGTGAAAGGAGTTCAGCATGGAAATAAAAATGAAATGACATAAAATGGATCCTAGGAGAATAAATTGAGAAAGAAGCCAGGCACACAGCACTAGAGTTTCAAGAAGAGTCACTGCTGTGCATTGGAAAGAAGGGACAAAGACGAGCTGAGATTCACAGTGCCAGTCTATCCAGCCTCTGCTGTGCAGGACTGGCGTCACAGTTGGAAGCCAAGCTGAAGAACTGCTCTCGCTTTCTTAAGATAGCATTTCCATTTTGTGCCTCAATGGAAGCACTTTTCCCAACTCCTACTCTCTCTGTGCTAATATGTACCTGCTGGAACACTAAGTCTGTTATTTATTATTAACCATACATAACCCATTGACTTCATGGGTCAGCCCACTACGTTATTTGTACCATCAAATGCAGGACTTATATTTATACTTCATGGCCTGCTTGGCTTTGTACCATGTGCCACAACAGCAGAAGATCCATAGCTTTCTCTCCTTTCTCCCCGGGGGCCCTGAGTGACATCTGCCACCATGAAAGCCTGGCAATCTACTGCAGCAATGAGAACTCCCTCATGCTAGAATGGGAACAACAGGTCCCTTTCACCTTGCTGCAAAAATCACAGTGCTATCAACAACACATTGTTTCTCGGCACTCAATTAGAAGGAAGCGTCAGGGTTAGGAGGACGCCCACCGAGTCAGGCCCTGCACTGGGCCCCCGAAGGGGCTCTCTGAGGACGCGGTCCCACCCAGCACTGCAGCATTTCCAGCAGAGGGGGAGGCGCACAGGACCCGGGATGGGGTCAGGGCCGCGCTCGCCGCTCCCCGCACGCCAGGGAGCCACGGCTCCATCCCGCCCGCCCGCCGGCCCGCTCTCGCCCCGGCAGCAGCAGCCGCCGCCCCGCCCGCAGCCCCGGCGGCACCGCGCTCAGCACCACGGACAGCGGCGGGGCCGCCGCCGCCCCCCGCCCCCGCACCTTTCCGGATGAGCTCCTCGCTGTCCGGCTCGTAGCCCGCGCGGTGGCAGCGCCTCCAGAGCCCCGACACGGTGGAGTTGAAGCGGCGGCCGCAGTGCGAGTCCAGCGCGGCGGAAGCGGCGGCGGCCGGGGCGGGGGCCGGGGGGCGCCCGGGCAGGAGCGCCCGCGGGGGTCGGGCGCGGAGCGGCAGGTGCGAGCTGGGCGCCGACATGGAGCCGGGCGGGTCGCTGCGCTTGTGGCCGAAGCCGCGGCAGCGCTCGCGGTGCCGCCGCGCGTCTGTCTCGTACCAGGAGTCGGTGCCGATGGCCACGGCCAGGAGGGCGAGGGCGGCGGCGGCCAGGAGCAGCCCGGTGCCGCTCAGCGCCTGAGCCGCGGCCGCCATCTTACCGCGCCGGGGGCGGCAGGGGCGGGCGCTTCCCTGCAGCCCGGCTGGGGCCGCCGCCCGCGGCACCGCCCCCGGAAGGGACGGGCCCGCGCCCCCCGCGCCGCGGCACCGCGCCGGGCTCGGTCCCGCGCCGCGGCATCCCCCGGCGCGGCCTCACGGGGGTCCCGGAACCGCCCCCGCCGCGGCGCCCGGCTCCTGCTCCGCCGACCGAGGGGCCCGTGTCCAGGGCGGTGCGGGGGTGGCCGCGGGCGGCTGCCGGGGATGGATGACCGGAGGAAGGGGTGAACGGACCCTCCGAGCCTTTCCGCGGCCTCCTCTGGCCTGGCAGACGCCCGTCCCGCTGGCTTGCCCGGGGCAGAAGGGCAGAGACCAGCCCTGCTCAGGCCGCGGGAGCCAGCAGGTTTTCAAATCTACACGAAATGCAAACACCACCCGCAACATCATTTGTTGGCTTTTGGATTATGACTTCTCCTCCACCCTTCAGTATCAGTTAATGGAAAATAATACCCGCAACATCATTTGTTGGCTTTTGGATTATGACTTCTCCTCCACCCTTCAGTATCAGTTAATGGAAAATAATGCCAGAAAAATGTCCATCTATTTTATGCAGTGAGAAGCAGATTAAATCCGAGTCATTAGTTAAATGCAGCATTTATAGGGGCACAAAATCCCTTCTGATCCCACTTGTTGTATAGGGCTTGTTCCTCCAGCTGCAGCACTACCAGTCAGTCCCCAAAGCCAGTTGTTAGGGCATTGCCTCATCAATTGTGGCCTCCAGATAAAATGATCTAGTAATATGCTATGCCTAAACTACTAATTTAAAATGCAATTTTGAAATCCTCAGCTTCGGGTGTTTTTTGCTAGAAGTAGTTTTAATTGGTTCCCAGGAGCAAATGCTCAGCTGTGGGAGATTCTGATCCTTTCTCCCTGCCACCACCTTCCCCTTGACACCTGGTCTCTCTGAGCCACACTGAGCACAACCTAAACACCCTCCCCAGTCCTTCTCCCAGCAACACTGCCCAGCACAGGGTACAGCTGATCTCCCCTGAGCACTCTGCCTGGTGGAAACATGCAGCAGCCACAGCTAAAGCTTGTTCTAACCGCATTTCTGCATGATCCTCTTCCGCAGTTTGCACTGGACAGATGGGATTACCATGCATGCAGCTGCACACTGCTGCCTTCAAGGCAGACAAATTGAAAGGGCTGCTGTCAAAAGAATTTTCTTACACATACCAGCTAAATTAGGTCTTCCATAGCAAGAATGAAAAATAATTTTCAAATACAATCACTGCTCTAGCTAACATGGAAAAATCCTTCAATTGTAATAGCTCTTTCCTGGAAAGATCCAATAGTCGCATTTCCTAAGTCTGCAATCCTATTATGTCACCTTACTCTCCATGTGAGCTGCTCTGGATACAGTTTCAAATGACAGGGACTTCAGCAACACCATCATCTTAGAAGGTTCCCATGAATTAAATAAACTGTAATTGTTCTACTTTCTGTGCTACTGCAATTGTGTCAGAGCCATCCTTCCCAGAGCCTGTGAAACAGATAGCTGATTAATTCATTATAATTTTGATTACTTTTGAGAAGGAAAAAGGGATGAGGGAGAAAGGCTCATAGCACAGTCCTAAGGGCAGGAATTCCAGCACAGCCCAAGAGTGCAGTGTAGTAAATCCAGGGACAGAGATTCCAAAATGTAGATCACTGGCAAAATCCACAGACTGTGACATTATGCCCTTGATCACCTACCTACTTTCATCTTCTTCCAGCTCTTGGGTTGTGGTTTTCCTTCCTTTTACGGAAGACTTTGGGTAAGAAGAGATATAAATGCACCATTTATAGCTGAAAATCTTCCAAATGAAGGGTGGCACAAGACATTTTCTGAACCCATGTTTTTGAAGGGTAGAGAATTTCCTCTTAGTCCTTTCAGGGCAATTGGAACACAAAACCTTTCATGATACCTGACATGGCAGGTATCCAGCTTATTGTTAACTGAAACCAGACAGGCCTTGAGGTTCTTTGATTTTAAAAAATAACTGATTACAGTCAAGTATGATTACAAAGCTCTCTGAACAGTAAAGTTACCATGCAAGCTTTCCCCTGAAAATATCTGATTATGCTTTTCAGGGAACTCAGAGCAGCACTCAAGAATTATGATTCTACCACACTGCTCCTGGACAAGAGTTCCATGGCAGCAGAGAGAAGAAACTGGAATAGAACTTTTTCTTTCAGCTGTGTAAGTCTGGGGAAAGTCTGACATTAACCCAGAGTCCAAACTGCTCTAGACTAACCCAGAGATATGTCTGTGTAATTCAAATGAAATTTAAATTGAATTTTTAAATCAAAGGAAAGTAGGAACTTAAAAAAAAACAACAACTAAACCAACAAAATAAAATAATCCAACAACACAAACCAACATGGAAAACCATTTATTTCATCTCTATTGTCTCCAAGCAGAGCAGACCAATACAGATGAAGGGAGAAAATGCATAAGAGCAGCTGAAAAAATAGAGCTAGAAAATACAATTCTCTCTGCATTTCCAAAAGTGACAAATGTGGTGGAGTGATGCTCCATTTCCTCCCAAGGCTCTCAATCCTCAGCCCCAGGGCTGACGCAGTAGAAATCTACTGAACCCCTCCCTCCCACAACCCCATGCTACCTCCTACCAGGGTATCTTCCCAAGAACCACAGACTATCCATGCCTGTGATAGCAGCCAAGAAAAACAGCTCAGAAATTCTTTGTTCAGTGTCATCCACTTCACATTCCTGAACGCTGAGTATAAAATCCTGACTGTGGTTTTCAGTCTTGGCAAGGCTCAGTGCTGATGCAACAACGCCAACTCATGGGCACTCACCTGGCAATGCCTCAACTTAAATGCCAGCCTTATTTTGGGAAAGGCATCTTGAGGAACAGCAGGCACAACTTTCTGTGCAAGCCTGCTTCCTCCAGAGCCCTGTTACAGGGTCTGCTTAGCTGCAGTCCCTGGGCAGAAGGAACCCCCAAAGGTAGAACCAGAGGGTTGGAAGACTCCTCCAGTCCCTGCAGGATAAGTGGATTAATCATCCTTCCAGGAAAGCAGAAAATGGATGCTACCTTCAGACCTCATGACAATTGAATGATGGAGTAGCTGGCACAGGAAGGCAACTTTGTAAAGAGGAATAAACAATTGCACTAAGCCTCCCTCCTTGCTGCAGTGAAACTAGTTACTAATATAAGTTCAGGGAAAGGAAAGCTGAACAAATTTCAGACAGCAGTTCCTGGGCAGACAGAACTGCAAGCATGAGCTCTCCAGCACTCACTGAAAAGTAGGACAGGAGCTGTCATAAAAAGAACTGTGTCAACAGTTCAGGAATCTCTTAGGAAGTAGTGCCTCTGCTGTGGGCAGTATACCTGCCTTGCTGCTCTGACCTTAACTGCCCTCTCAAGGCACAAGTTCTCTTGGTAAGGCCCTGGGCAGACTGGAGAGCTGTACTGCTTCACAAAAGCTGTTATAAGACTGAGCCAAGTTGCTGTAAATCACACTGTGGCACCTGTTTTGTGTTCAGTGACTCTGTTAGTTCAATTAGACCTGTTTTTAAACAAATTTAAGCAAAGCTGAGTTTTACAGAAGGGACAGTCCAGTAATAGGGCACATCTCTGCGGCATTAAAACATCCCTGTGGAATTATGGCCTGGTCAGCCCTATGAGCTGGGATGGAGGAAAGCACTAGAAATTTTATTAATTTTTATTGGTCTCAAATTGCCAAAGATTTTATCCCAGGCATCACATAACAGAAAACTCCTCTTAAAGCATACTTATTGTCACCCTTTCAAATCCCTTTCTCACCTTACTTAAAAATATTTTCACCAGCAGTTTCAACCTTCCCATCTAAAAGCTGTCAGTATTATTTCTTATTCATTCATCAACAGATGAACTCCACTGTGAGGTAAAAACCCCAGAAATAGGCTGCCATCTACAGCATGCTCCTAAATAGTGTACACTGAACAGAGGAAAAGCTAACCAAGAGTTATCAGCTGCTGACCAGGCTGTAGTGTTCAAGCACCTCTGCCATGACAGTCTAGGGGGACTGCAGCCTGCTGGGCAGGTCTAACAAGCTACACCTCGAGAAAGCTCTGAGACACGGTATGGGGCAGATGGTGCATCAATCAGGTCTCGTGAGCAGGCTCACAAGCATGTTCAGCTAATGGTTATGAGGAGAGGGAGCTCAGTCACAGCAGCTACATGGCTTTCCCTTCAGACAGGAGTGAGCTGGTAGCTGGCAATTGAAGAAATATTTACTGATCATTTATCTGATAAACAGCTGGGCTGTGCTGGCTACTGGAGTGGTTAGGGCTGAGGCAAGTAATCTCCAAGCTGAGTCATTTAATTGTAGTGACCTACCCTAAAGCGCCACAAGCTTTTGGCTCAATTTCCATGTAAACAAAATAGACCAAAAGAGCTGGACTGCTGAGGCCAATACTACCTTTAGGAACAAGTGGTGTCAATGAACAGCTGGAGATCAAGTTGGAAAGGGTCTCTTCCCCTCTATCTCATAGCACCATCAATTTCTCATGGGTAGGGAGTTCTGGCTAAAGCTTTGTCATGCCTGTTCTGCCTCCAGCCCTTAAAGTGGTAAGAAAAATCCTTTATCTTCATCAGCTACAGGAATCACCTCTGCTGTTTTCACGCAAGAGCTTGGGAGGTGCAGTTCCATCAGAATGAACCAAATGAAACATCATTCACTCACAGTGGAGCAGTCATTCAGTTCGTTTCTGCCCAGTGCATCTTTTGCTCCATAAAAACCAACCAAACAAAAAAAAGAACAGAAGCCCTCATGTGTGGATTTTAGCAGAAGAGGGATAGGAGAGCCAGGGAATGAAGTCTTGCACAGCCAGACCTCTCTGTCACCCGCTTCTCATACTAGCAGCCAGATCTGCGCGCACACACGTGGGAAGTAACATTAGTGTTCCTTATTGCTTTGTAAAGCTCAGAGTCACTGTGGTGGCTCTGGGAGGCAGCATGAGGTCTGCGCAGAGGTCACTCGGTTGTGAGGGCGAGTAGCACCATGACTGTAATGCCCGTACACAGGAGCAGAATTTGCTGCAGGGAATTCCTGGGAAAGAAACAGCAAAATTAGAAGGAGCCATAAACCAATCCCCATAGGCAGCTGCACAAAGCTCTCCAATGATTTGTTGTTTGCCTTTTCAAATTTACTACGTGGAGAACACAGCAGCTGTATGAAGTCACTGACACAGATGAGAAGACCTTCCCAGTACCCCCAGCAAAGGAGTTGTCTATAAACCGGTATGGACTTGCTCCACTCAGCTGCAAGGCCCAGCTCCAGGCTTCCAAATCAATTCAAGCTGATTCAGTCATGCAGCTATTCAGATACATATTCATGGCCTTTCACTCACGAGGAAACCAGCACTTACACAGCATGTGCACAGACACTTTAGGGACCTCATCCAGCTAACAACTACAGTTACAGAAATAAAAAAAAAGCCAACAAATCTGGCCATTCTTTTAGCACTGTGTTGGGTTTATGTTGGATTGAAGTGACTGTGTACCTCCCACTTCTGCATATTCTGCCAACAACCTCTGCCAACACAAGAGGTTACCAACCCAAATTAGCATTTCTCCACAAAGTTCCTACCTCCTCAGAAAGAACTGTGGAGCTGGTTTTTTGAGCACTGTTTCAGTCATAACTAACTAGGTGAACCAAGGCATCTTATTTAAACTACTGAAGTTACTTGTCTTATTACAACTAAAATAGGAGGGAACATTCAGGAGCAGCTCTGAGAGGGCCTTTACTGTGGAACAGCTGGATTGGACCTGCTACAGACTTAATTAGACTGCAAGAAACTAAAATAATACACGAGGAATACCCAAATACATTGGAATATAGATACCAGTGCAGAAGAGAGATGTCTGAGGTGGAATACAATGACAGACTATGAAATGCTGAGTGATAAAGAGAAGCAAACTATTATTTTTCTACTCACACAGCAACACATTGAAACCTAATTAAAAAATTAATACATAAGAGTGTAGAAACCAAATAATAAGAAGCATCACTTAACAGTAGAGTCAAACTCTGCAAACTGCTGCCAAAAGGAGGTTGCAGAGGTGTGAATTAATGGAAAGGGTCAGAGAGAAAAGCATGGAAGGATAGATTCACATGTGGTTATCAGACACATATGCCTCTGTGGGGCCCTGGTTCAGACAGTCCCTACACCAGTATGTACGGAAGCTGAAAACAGACTGGGCAGTGGTGTCCTTACTGGACATGCTTCCCAGGAATTTGCTCTAGCTGGCCCTGCTGCATGCTGTGCCAGCACAATCTCTGGGACTCACCCAGGTGAAAGCTCTCATTTATAGAGGGTCTTTTTAGTCCCACAAATGCAATAGCTAGCAAGCAGTCTATTTTGATTACAGCCTTGTCCATAGGATTTGGGAAGCTGGCATTCACACACTTCCAGAAGAGGCACAGGGAAGGGTTACATCCCTGCCCCCTGGCAGCATGAATTGCTGCAGAAGAACAGGAGGGAGCACTTACCAAGGATTCTTTTCCTCCAGGAGATCAGGCACAACATTTACCAAGGCAATGTACAGAAATCCTCCAGAAGTGAAAGGGAGGATCCAAGCTACTGTTTCTCCTGCAGAAATACAGAAAGCTTCAGTTATTACTGAGACAGAGCCATGGGACACAACACAGAAGGGGAAGAAGATACAGAAGGATGAAAAGCACTGCCTCCTCTCCCATTTCTACAGAGGTCCCAGGGCACCTTACCTGCTCCTTTTGGTGACTGAGCACATATTGCAAAGCAGGCTCCTAGAATTCCCCCCAGAGCTGTGGAAAGCTGCATCTTGGCTGCACTCCAGCGGTCAAAGCCGGCCCGAAGTAGGATTGCGAAGTCTCCAACCTAAGAAAACCAAGAACTGACAGTTAATGAACTTGAATACCAAATTCCCAGTTACAAAGGTCATTCACAACAAGGCCAGTGCTTTAGGACTGTTCCTGGTTTTCAATGTTGTCAGTCTCCCCAGAGGGAGCAGCCTTCAAGAAGACAAGATATTAACCAGACCCAGAGCTCCTCTTAGTAGATGAAGCACAATGTAATCCCCCTCACATGGCAGGACACAAAGCCCTCTCACCTCATGTGGGATTTCATGCAGGAGAATGGCCATTGTGGTTAGGAACCCAACCTGCAGCAGAGAGAAATAGATTAGGAAACAATTCCAGTATTCTTGGATGAATCTCATCAGGTCCCATGCACTTACAGCTGGAGCAGCAGATACCCCATCAGTGCAGGGCTGACTGGGAGTTTATCATTCTCACAGTCATGGTGGTCCAGCTCAGGGAAATGGACCACCATAGTCCATCATCAGTGTTGAAGACAAAAGCAAAAATGCAATACACGTCTCTGCCTTGTCTATGTCCCAGTTTCTGAGGTAACCATCCTCATCATGTTATTTCTGGACTGTCTTTTGAGTCGATGAGGGTAGATGAGCTAATCCATCCCCTAATGCCAGTACAAATGACTAATGTGTCCCCAGTTCAAAGAAGGTCTGCATCAGAGGATCAGGACAGGGTTGGGCTTTACTGTAGCCTGCTTTTTCTCAGAAAATTCTAGCAAATAGGAAGGAACTCCTTCCATTTTTTTGGATGTTCTGCATGTTGTATCATACTTGAGACAAGACCTCTCCATTTCAATACACAGCTGGGGACAGAAACCTTACCTTTCTGCTAACCAGGAAGCTGGCTGCTACTGCCAGGCCATGTGTGAAGTTATCAATGGTGTTGGCCAGCAGATTGAGGTATCCACTAATCTGCAAAGAGAAGGAAGAGCCCTTGATAAAGGGAGAGATGTAAGAAGACAAAAAAACCAGCTTAGACAAGGGTGATTCAGTCACAATCAGATGGGAAGGACAGAGCACAATGCTTCTGCTGAAAATCTTGAACTATATCAGTGCTTCAGTAAAAACTAAATGTAATTTTTGGTTTTAGAGTAAAATAACTTTTAGGGCAGGCGAGTATTGTCTGAGATTAGAATAATTACTGTAACAAATGATGAAGAGCTCTAGAAACAGAAAAAGAAAGGAAAAAGAAGAAAGCCAAAATACAAGAATATATTTAATTCTAAGTTGAACCAATTTTAGGTAACACTGACTAATTTACACAGGTGACTGGCTTCAAATATGACTTGATCTTGTTTTCAAGTCATGTACTTAATATCCAACTGTTAAATATCTTCTCTTCAAAAGCTGGCAAGAACAATGCAACAGAACAAATGCTGCTGGAATTGCTTTCTATAACTAAATAAATCTTCCAACATTGTACCAAAAAAGTTCGTGCTTGTGGGTTTGCTTTCCCTTAACAAAGAATCAAAAGAGAAGATAGTGATGACAGTCACCAAAAAACCACCTACTAGAAGGCTGGATAGCATGTATCAGCATTTACATATAAACACATTTCTTAAAATTATAAGCATAAAGCAGCTGTCATCCTCACAAGTCCATCTCCAAGTTAAAATTCCCTATCATTCTAACTAGGGTCATCTCCTGACAAAATCTGAGTATTTGACCTAAAGTAATTTACAAGGGTACCACCCCAGCTCTTTAGTTCACAGGTTTTTGGGGTTTTTTTCCATCATATTTAACAAAAACTACTGCTTGTTGGTCCTGAGATGGCACTTCACTATATGGGACTTCAGTTTAAATAATTATCAAACCAGGAGTTAGCCCATGTATCAGGCCATGTCTGGACTGCAAGAACTCCAGACACAGGGCAGTATCCAGTGAGTGGAGACACTGTCTGGAAACTGTGAAACTCTTACTTCACCACAGCATCAGACGCCAAAGTTCAGCCAGACAACCACGAGTGCTGATGGACTTCATTAGCTCCTTTTGGTCTTGTGCTCTTCCCTGTTTCTACCAGCTCTGCTTGGGGTATCTTGCTGTCATTTGTATGCCACAACTCAGGAGCCCTCTGTCAAATCTCTCTCTCCAAAGCACCACCTCTCTGCAGGGCATTTTTACTGCCATCTTGGGGCACCGTTGTAGCCTCTAAATTTTTTTAAGTGCACTCATGATTAAGTGCAAAAACTAAGAATTAAGCAAAGCCTACCCCACTTTTAAGTAATAAGCAAAGTAACATCTCCACAATGAATGCAAAAAAGATCCCTGCATGCTTTTATAAAAAAGGAAACCCAAATAAATGCATGCACGCAGACACAAAAATGGAACAGTTTTACTTCTCATTCTTCATGCTCTCATTCCTAGACAGCCAAATATGACTAAAATTCTCCTTTTCATGTTTTTTTACGTGATGGCGTTTTCCCCACAGGATAATAATAATTATTCACAGAAGTTTTACACAAAAATGCTTTCCCATATCACTGTATAGAGGAAAAAATAGGCTTCATGATTAAAACATTACGACTTTTTGTTGTCAGTGGCTTGGGCAAAAGCTGTCACTGAAAGAAGCAAAGCTTTGGAGTGCTCAGAAATAAATTGGGTTGATTTGACAGTTATGAGCCTCTGACATTTACATTCTGCGAATCCCTAATAGGATGTTCTCGTTGCTCATAAAGAGCACAGCCAGATGAAGTGTTTATATTCATGCTTCAGAATTAATGTCACTCTGTAATAAAACATACTTCCACAAATCAACCAGGACCCCATGTATCACAGGGAGAAAGAAAGAATAAGCAAGGCAAAAGTAGTGTACACAATGTTTTTACCTGTTGAGGGAATAAGGCTGCAATGAGGGACAGAACTGATCTATGTCTGCATGCAAAGGAAACCTCCCATCTGCCATTTTCAAGCTAGGACAAATTCTAGCAGCAGCTAAAAAGCAGAAGTTCTAATATATATATGTGGACAACAGTCAACTCACTACAACTTACTGATAATCAAGTCTTGAAGGGTAACTTTGTTCATTTCAATAGTATCTTTCCCTTTTTGTTTACTGAAGGAACAGGTGTTTCTGAGTGAACAGAAGAACCGAAATTTTGTCATGCTATGAATTTCACTCCTTCCTTCATGAGTAACTGCTCTGCTCACTCCCAGCACCACCACTTCCCTGCAGGGGCCCTGCCCAGCACACATGGTGTGGCACCCCTGTCCCCAGCTGCAGCTTTCAACAGGGCATCTCTTTGCCTTCCCCCTCTACTGTCACTGATTTTTATGGAACTTGCAGAAATCTGATCACCCTCAAGATTCCTGACCTCCTGAACACAAGGAAAATTAATTATGGGTTCAAAAGTTATTGAAAATGAAGGGAAGAACAGATGGACAGACAGATGGAATGACTGCTTATGTTGTTGCCTAAGGAAACAGGCTAACAACGCAGGAGTATCTTGGTAGGTTTGATAATTTCCACCCTACCAGGAAGACTATTAAAATATTCAGATTAAAAGATCAGAAGATAAAAAGTTAAAACTACACCCATTAAGACTTAAGTTTCTAATTCATGCAAATCAACAACCATCTGTAAAATTGAACAGATGTGTCAGGATTTTAAAGCTAGAAGGTTGCCTAAACCTTCCATATAACACAACTGAAAGAACTTAATTTAATTTGTGCACAAATTTCATTGTTTCTTAGGCTATCATGTACTCTGTAGAGAGCAGCTTAAACCACAGCTTGCAGCTCACAAGTGACAAAAAATCTGCTATCTCTAAGGCAAGCTGGTCCACTAGCAAGCTACCCTCAGTTAGAGAGTTGTCTCTAAGTTCTAGACTACTACTGTTTGCTATAGCTGTAACTATTCAAATTTAGCCATTCCTCTACGGGCATTTGTATACTCTAAATCACCCTTGATCTGCCATGACTACAGAGCTAAACTAAAGAAAGCCACTTATCATGTACTGCAAACTTAAAATATTATTTCATCTCTTTCTGGGCTCCTTTACAAATTATTAGTAGTATTTTGGGTACTTGGAACAGCACTACTGGAAAAAGCCAGATAGCTGTTTCACTACTGATATACAGAAAGAGGAACTCTCCCCTCTCCTCTTACATATTATTTCCTACTCACCCATCCTTCTGGCTGTAGCACCATGAGGGAAGAATGTGTTCAGAAAATTTCCTAATGTAATCCTCACGTGTTTTTCCAATGCATTGACTAACTAGAAACTATCTCTATCTTGTAAATAGGATCTGAGGTCTCCTTCTTAATCTGTTCCTTATAATTGCATGTATCAAAACCTGTTAAAAATTCAGCACTTTTTTCTGATGAAGTTACTCAGTTTAGCTGCTATCACTGACTTCATGCAGTCACAATGTGCCATTTATGTAACGCAGTACCTGCAAATGCGAAGATATACTATTTTTATAAATAATAACTTGGAAAAATAATAACCTAAACAGATTTGAGGGAGGCTGCATTAAACCAGCTCTTTTTGATAACATCGAATAACAGATTTTTAATACAGCTAGTATTAGCAAAGTTGATTAGAATGGGGGAGAAAGTTGTGTTTTGTATACATTTGTCATGACCTTTATTAAACAACTTTATGCCTGAATAAGAGGCAGGAAAAATGTCTGGTTGATAAGAATGCATTTATCTTACATAAGTCATATCAATTAGCATTAATTACATTATTATTTTTTATATTAGGACCACACCCTGAGCAGTTGTATCACCTATCTGTGTTTCATTTCTACATGAAATCAGTAGTCTATAGTTCCTTATATAAACCCTTCCAAAATTAGGGCACAATGTTTCATAACCCAGTAATACTGGTGTCTTCACTACTACCACCTCTAGAAACAACCACGTGGCACCTTACAGTGTTATGTACAAATTACATGAATGTGACAGATGTCAAAAATACTCAGTGACCTCAGCATAACTTTCATGTTCTGTAAAGTTCTGTAAAACATTTCATATAAAGTTATAGCAAAACAAATTTAAAATAGAAAGACTGAAGAGCCTCTGCCTGACCACATATCCAGCTTTGAACTAGTTCATGAAGCACACTTTCTGTCCATAGTTACTCTCATACAATCTTGCACATTTTTATGGGCTTTCAAACTCAAATTGCAGGTCCTCCTTCACCAAAGTGGTTGTTTACTCTCTCTCTCTTGTAATGCTCACCCAAAAAAGGGTTTTCCACAGTACAAAGATAGTAACATGGAACAGGAAGCAAAGCCAATGTAGAGGTTTTCCACTTCCCCATGGTGCAGGACTCTTCCTCCACCTCCAGTGCTATGAGCCTGCTGATCTCCCTTATCCCAGCACTACAGGCTGCCTGTCTGCATGCCAAGCTGATCCAAGAAGTTAATTTAGGAGAGAAATAGACCAGGGGGGGGGAGGTGGGTGTGTGGGTGTAGACAAGCAAATTCTTTGCCTGTTTAGCTCCTTGAATAGGCTCACTGTGAGGTCAGATGAGATCCAGTGCAAAGGAAGCAATGGGAAATACAAGTTTGGAGACAGAAGTGGACAAGAAGTCCTTTTTGGCAGCAGGCAAACTGATAATCTGAGAAATGGAACTTTTAAATTTTACACTGGTTAGCTTCAACACACTTCCTAAAGGTGTCAAAACACTTCCAAAAGGTGCCTTAAAAGGAAGAGTGCATCTCAGAATCGGTACAATCCAGGCAGTGGAGAACAGAGAAATCATGATGCAAAAAACTAAGCAAATAAAGACATATTAACTATAAAATATAGAGTAATAAAACATGAAATTCTGTATTTTGGTAACAGAATTCAGCCAAAATGCACATCATCACACTTGTGCCTTTATAATATTGATTTTTCCTCTTCCATATAAGCTGCAGTGCAGATTTTCTCCAAGTCTGCTATTTCTTCCCTGCTGTGACCAGGACACACATTGACAGAGTAAAAGTAAGCACAACTCAAATGCTGAGTTCCCCACTCAAGCACAGTCTTTCCACAGACCATTCCTGACTAAGAAGTGAAGGTGAGTTTGTGTGCCTCTTACCTTGATTCTGTTGTTTTTTGGACCAGACTGGAGAGAAGAGCCATTACACTGAGCTCGTGCTCTTTGGGACTGACAGGACCCCTTGGGCAGGGGGCAGCCGCTTCCATTGGGAATCTTTCCACATGGTGCTTTGGAATCACAGTCCTAAATTAGGGAAAACAAACTTGTCACTGATTTTTTTTCAGTGATGAATGAGCATGAATCAGGATCAGAAAACCAGCCTTCACCCTTAATCCTTTTGTCCTTACAATGTGACTCAGCAGGTTTGACACCCCAGTTTAATAACAAGTGCCAGAAATGAGACAGATTCAGAGACCATTGTGACATCTGCCCTGAAAGATAACAAGAGCTAACACCTCTCAGTCCTCAAGAGAAATAGAAAGGGGAGGAAGTGGAGTCACAGTCCCTTGGCATGAGCCAAGTTCCACTAGAAGATAAGGGAGTGAGCCAGCCTGTGCCTCCTGATAGCAGCCGCTGCCCAGAGAAATACAACTCCACTTGGGCAGGAGATGGGGAAGAGTCTTGCTCTCCCCAGTGCATCGGAACAATTAAATCTACAAAATTATTCTATAGCTGGGATCATCACCTTCCAAACAACAAAATATTTATCTAGGATTTCAGCCTCTCTCTAAATGAGAAGATGAAGTTCCTTTCGGGCATTGAAGTCTCACATTGAGTCAAAGTTCACACATAATTGCTCTTATGTAGTGCCTGACCTACAGGCTCACCTCTCAAAAGTCATGGCACAGCAAGGACTGAACAGTCTAAAGGAGCTGAAACTAGCAGTTGTGGAGATCTCTGAAGACTAGGTATTCTCCTCTGTCCTGGAATTATCCTCTGCTACCTCATCTACATCTCCCCTTTGCAGCTGGGTGACTCCTTTGAACTTAGGATTACCTGGCCAGTCACAAATTCCTTCTACTACAAAAAGTCACCCAAACAAACACCTGGTCCCGGACATAACCAAGAAGAAACATCTTCAAGAAGGCTGGCCTTTGTCCTGATTGATGACCCAGAAAGAGAATGAGTCACGATGGGTCCATGGAACATGCATCAGCAAACTGTCACCCCTCAAGGCTTACTTGAGCAAAAGTCTGATTTGCAGAGTGCTACAGCTCCCAGCCCCCACAGAACAGGAGCTCTCTTTTACACTTACCACATAAAGAACAAAACCAAACCAGAAGTGAGAAATCTCAGTTAAAACCACAAAACAAAAGCCTGAAGAAGAAATCTACTCCTACGGACCAGTGGCAAAGAAGTGGCAAAAATCTCCCAAAGGGCAATGACAAGGTACTCACAGCTACAGGATAATTCCTGACACTGTCAGATAGGGCAGATGAGGTATTTAGTACAGAGCTTCAAATATAAGAGTACTCCCCTGTCTTAGGCTGCTAACTTACCACACCAGGATACTCCTCCTCTTTCTCTAGGAAGATCTTCTCTAGCACCAGGAAGGTCAGAAAACCAATGATCACCCAGAGACCCAGAAGCTTCTGCTGCTGAAAGCTCTGCCCTTCTCCTGAAGGACAAAAGAGAAATCTTCATGTCTCTATTACATACATAGCTCTTCACACATTTCCAAGACAAAAAAAAAAAAAAAAAAAAAAAAGACAGTGGAAAAACTCCCTGCGAGGTAGGAGGAGTAAACACATCTCAAAACAGATTAGTTTAACTTGCCCATTCTTGATCTAACAGATCTCATAATCTCGAGACCCTCAGAGTGAGAGCTACCATCCCTTTTTCCACATCAGCTCAACCCAGAATATTTCCTGACAACACTGGGAATTTCCCTGAGCTCCAGAGGCAAGTGAATATTACATCAACAAAAATCCAGCAGCTGTACCTACTGAGAAGCAAGCCCTGACATGAATTCTGCCATTAGTGGAGTTAGAAACTCACCTTCCCCTTTCTGCCACACCTTAGCAAGTTATTAAGCCCAAAGCTACAAACTTTCTTTTCAATTACAGCCAAGCGTGTGAGATAATAATCCATTCAGTCTCACTGCCAGAACTGGAAACTGCATTGCAATGGAAGAACAGAACAATTCTGTACCAGGACTTACATGGGTCAAGGAAACCTTTACACTTCAGGACAGCCTGGCAGAAGCAAACAAACTTGAGCAGAAAGACAGAGTAATTTGGGAACTACTGTAGAAAGGGTGAAAAAAAGTACGGGAGGTTTTGCTACTGCTGTTATGAAGAAGAGCACTAAAGACCTGGTAGATTTGAAACCCCAGGACATAGGTGCAAGAAAGTCTGGGAAACCCAGGGCATCATCTTCCCTCTCTCACATTTTCACCAGGAAAATGACTTCTTGGTTTCTCATCAGGTGGGATGCAGCAGCACTTGCCTTCTATGATATCAATTTGCTGAAGCAGACAGCAAACACTATAGGTTTCAGCAGACAAACATTATAGGTTTCAGCATCCCTGGCTATTTGAGGGATGAAGGAGCTACACTGATCCCAAAAGGTCTATACCAACTCAGTGTTTAGTTTGCTGGCAAACACAACTTTCTGTCACCTCCATTTTCTTCTTCCTCCCCTGCCTCATCCTCCAATCTTAATGGTGGCACTGTAGTCAATGTTCCATGATTTGTCATGGAGCAAAGACTGCAACACATGAGCTCCCATAAATCAAAGCATCCAACAGAGGGATGGGCCCCAGTTAGTGCGAAGAAAGAGGTTCTAGGAGTAACACTGTCATAGGGACAGATTTGTAAAAAAGGTGCACCCAATCCCCAACTAAGATGGTGAACATGTTCATGTACCAGACCACATACACAACCATAACCTCCCATCAGCTTAAAGAAGCATTCCCTTTCCTTACAGAAGGAACAAAGGAAAATCAACAGAGACTTACAGGAGTCCAAGACATGATAGGAAAAGTCAATAAACAAGAAAACCATTCTAAGGTACTAAACATAAAGAAACCATGGCAAATTGAGGAAGCCTCTAATTTCAAAGTCTTTGGAGGATTGCTGAATACAAAAATGAAGTATTACACGTTTGGTTTTTTATTCTCACATCATTCCCTAGGCATTTGCTTTTATATATTACTTGAAAAAGGATACCAGCCTGGACCAGTTTTTGGGCTGACCCAGACTGGCTGGTCTTGGGCTTTCAAGGCAGAACAGACTCAAAACAGGCACAGCACAAGCTGCTTCCAGGCACATAAGGCTCTCATACCTGTTGTTGCACTGCATGTGTAGGCCCAGGCTTCAGGAAGCAGGTGGAGAAACACATTTCCCAGCAGTCCACCAATTGCAAAACTCAACAACTGCTTCAAACGCTGTGACCCAGCTAAAAAAAAAAAAGAAACAAGAAGAAAAAACCTGATCACTACTCAGCTAGGAACCAAGACATCTCCAGCTGAGATTTTGCACGAAGAAACCCAAACTGGAAGCATCTGCAAAGCAAGCTTTTGAAAGAGAGAGCACAAACCAAATGGAGTGCAAGAAAAAGCCCTGACAGCACTTGGTTGGGACAGTAGCGTGTGGGTCCTGAACCAAGCAGAATGGAAAACAGTACTCTTTGTACAAGCTCCATCCAGGGCTTACATTTGTCAAAGGACTCCCTTTCAAATTCACAGGTTCATTAAATTCATTAAAGCACCAAACCCAGACTTTTTATTTTAGAGAACAACATTTCTGTGACAAGGTCCTGTTCACCACTGCGCTGCTGTCACATCCCAGGACATCTGGCTTCAGAAAGGCCAACGCAGCTGGCAGATTCACCTTCGGAGCGCAGCGCAGCTCCCGTCTCAAGGGGGATCACCAGCAAGGGGAAGACCCCACTCAGCCCCACCATGAAGGAACCGATGAGGGAGCAGATCCAAGCATCCAGCCGCTCGCTGCTCAACAGGTGTCCCCAAGACTCTGCCTCCTTGTCACACACAGAACCAGAAGTGGCAGCAACATGACTCCTCGGGAGCTGCTGAGCTTCACAGGCCGCGATCAGGAACAAGGAGAGCGTCCCATCAAATAGGAGTTTTTGTTTTGTCATTGCTGAGTGGTCTCAGCCAGGCTGGCCTATCTCTGAAAAGATAAGGGGAAAGAAGACATGAAAACATGTTCAACCCTCTGTTCCACCATCCCAGAGGAAAAGCCTTGGCCACACCACACCCTCCCTTCAGTGTCTTAGCACAGGTAGGAATACCCATGAGGAACACCTGAAACTCTTCTTCATTTAAACACAGCACTAAAGGGCAGAGAGGCTGTTTGTCAATGGGGCATGAAACTGAGACATCTGGGGAAAGCATCAGGCTTTCACTATTTCCCTTCAGATGGGCTGGACAAGGAATCCAAGTACCCTTGTTCCTGCCCTTCAGTATCCCAAGGCTTCAGCAAAAGGTATTGACCAGAGATGCTACCAGGTAAGCCTTCTCTTTGGCATGGAACAGCACCCCTGCAACAAATTAGGATGCAAGACTGGCAACATAACAGAGATCTGTAAACTCATGAGTGGTGAAAAGATGGGGAACAGAATAGATTATTCACCATCTCATCAGACACAAGTGCATAACCATCCATATTGAGCCAGTGAGGGTCAGCTTCAAAATAAACAAATATGACCCTTCACCAGTAGGTAAGTTGTGAGATAGTGCTTCTCCAAAAATGATGAAAAATTTTACATGCACTCATCTAAAGACAGGACAAGAACTAGAAAGACAAATCTATTTATTGTTAAGGGTTAAACAGATCACATTAGACTCAGAAATTCCCCGATATGAGAGGAGTGGGAGAATGGAAGTGTTCTTGAAAAATACCATATCTACTTGTCCTGATTTTATCCTTTTGTAGAAGGATACTGGATTAGATGGTCTCTTAGTCAAAATCAGCACAGCTGTTAATAAGAGCTCTGCAGTCACACGAAAACTGGAGAAGAGGGCATGTTAGAAGAAAAAAATAAATATAATTACAGTCATTGACAAAGAGGGAAAGAAAGCAAATGATGTAAAGGCGGAAGTACAAATGTTCCTTCAATCTCCAGAAGAAAAAGTGAAATGTGACAAGCAAAAATAATTTGGAAATGGGAGGAAAGGGTGGGTTAGAAAAAGACAGACCTAACTAATGTTCACAAAACAGCGCGAGAGATAAAAACAGCATTCACCCAAAAGCATGTAAGAAACCAGTCTAATCTCTGAAGCATCAGTGACCATCTTTGAAAATTTACAGGAGTATGGGAAGGCCACAAGAAGGCTGGAGAAGCATCATGCCTCACCTACCTTTATAAAAGCAAAAAAAAAGGTGGGAGAAGTTACACACCAGTAACTTCAATCCTCTGAAGGACTCTTGATCAAATTAAATGATCAGTTGGTAGTTACCTATAAGATAAGAAATTGATAAAGATATCAAAGCATTAAGTAACAGCCAGATAGAAAGGAACCTGAAACTCTCAAGATGAAATTCAGGATGCTGGAGTCAATTTAAGGCTGTGGATAAAAAGGGCAGTGTTGCCCCTTGTCCCCCCCTCCTTCCCGAAGCATCACCTCTCCATGCTCACACCAGACTCCACCAGTGAGTGGCATCAGAACAAATTGAGCAGGAAAAACTGCTTTTTTGAACTCATGGCCCATTGCCAATTTCAGTCCCTGAACAAAAACACTGCAGGAGGAAGGCCAAGCTGCAATCAAAAGCAATCAAAAAGAAATTAAGGGACAGGGTCCCATGGCTTCTCTGAAGGAGCACACCAATCTCCAAGCACAGTGACCATCTGGAGCAGGAATGCAAGGAGGAATCAGTGAAGACACAGACTTGGCTAGTTGAGCAAGGACCACTAAAGCTATCACTTTTCTCTTACAACAAAACAAACTAAAATCCCTCAACACAGCAAGTTCAAACCAGCTCAGGATTTTAGGGCATCTTATTGCAGTGTTTTGATCTGGCTGCAGGAACCCCACACTTACCTACAACCTACTATCAAATTTCAGTAAGGATCAGTAAAAAACAGTACACTAAGGGCTGGGGAGGCAGGTGTGAAATCAAATGCAAATGACAGAACAGTAATTGCAACATGACACAAAGAAAAAGCACACACTGATTGAGAAATTAATTCCAAGCCAGCAGGCTTATGTTGCTACAAAAAGGGTAAAAGTTATCCTGGGACATAGTAGGAGTCACACTGTGGGTGTCACACAGGTGAGTGAGTCTTTAGCCAACAGATCACATCCAGCCCCACATACTCTTCCTCATAAAACACATGCAAAAATCTGAGACACTGCAGTGGAAAGAAACAAAAACTAGAGTAGAGAGAGCATGACCTGGAAAAACAACCAAAGGACCTGGGTGTGTTTAGTCTTAAAAAGATAACACCAAAGGAACAGAACAGCCTGCATACATTAAATCACAAGAAAGGGGGAAAGTACTCAACTATTCATCCACATCAGTTCAAATGGTAAACAAGATTAGCCTGAAGATGAAGAAACAAATATATATAGTACCAAACTGGGGATATACTGAAACTGGTTATCTAGGATGCAGAATTTCCAGCACTAATTTTTGTTTGGGTTTTTTTGTTTGGGTTTTTTTTTTGTTTGGCTTTTTCATTTTGATTTTGAGAAAAAGAAACAGCTGATGCAGATGCCATTTCATTGCAAAGATTAGATCCCTTCTTTGAAGTCCTTCAGGCCTCCAGCCCTTCCAACCCTGCAGTGGGCCTGATGGATGTCCTCATCTTTTATGATTGGATTAGACCTATAAAATGACTGAGAACTTGTGAGGAATACACCAAAAATAAATCAGAATTTATACAACTGTACATGCCTATGAAGAAGCAACACACACACACAGAGCTCAGCAATGATGGGAAGCAGCACAAATCTCTTCTGTAACATTTCACAGCTTTTGAAAAACAATCTGGAAAAGTAAACACTGCAACTGATTCAACAGGTCGATTTCTTGCATTTCATTCTCCACACTCACAACCCACAAAAGCCCCAAGGGACACCTGAAAGGGTCTCAGCGACTGAGATGCAGTAGCACACAGGACAAAGGTTATGTCCAGGACTCTGAAAAAGGTTTGCATACTTGGCTTCATGTTGTTCTTCCAGCCTCAAAAGGGATCAGATTCCTCAAAAAGGGGATGGTGGTAGAAAACAAATGGGTATAAAGCGTAGAAAACTGATTCCCCTAACTCACATTATAGTGTTGGTTCAACTTTCTGTGGTCCACAGGTCTTTATTCTGCTGTTACTCACGTGAAGAAAAAGCAGCACATTTCTTTATTCCTGTGCATCCAGATCATCATTACATCATGCCTCAGGAACAACCCCATATCTCATGCAATAAATTCCTTATGTTTATAAAACATCTATGAGAAACTTAGTGTATTGATCAGGACACACCTGAACTGCTCTTTGTGTCCAGCTAATTGTTTAGAGCATATTCTCAGCATTTCCTTATTCCTAACACATCATAACCACTTGCTAAAAAAAAAAAAAAAAAAGCAGCACTTTTTATGTCTACAAGCTTCTCGCTTCTCCATCTCATTAGAACATTAGCAAAGTCTCTAAATTCAAACATTCAAACTGGTTACCCCAATGGCAAGTATTTAAGAGGAAGAAAATAAGCAGTGAAGATGTAGTCATAGGAAAAAAATTGCTCTAGAGGAAAGTAGTACCTTGTCAAAACAGTTGCAAAGGGTGGAGGAAGTCTATATCTACCCTTAATTTTAGACAACAACATCTGTTTTAGGAACCCAGTCAGAGAATGTCTTGAGAAATATCTAGAGAAAGCACTGCAGGCTCTCAGAGACATCCATGGTCACAAGGCAGAGACACAAACAGGTTTAGAGATGTGTTTTCTCAAGTAGGGTTTATCACATACTTAAGAGCATGTAACTCTAGGAGAAAAATAGCCAGCAGGTCATTTATGTATCAGGTTTGACAATGCTCTGTCTGGGACCACAGCTCCCAGCTGTGCCTGATTCACAGCCTGGTGACCATGACCACGGGCAGCACCCTCCAGAGCACCACGTGTCTGAGCATTCAGGTCTGCTCAGCTCATCCTGCAACAGCCTCAGGACTGGAATAACCATTAGGTTTTCCCAGCCCAGAATGAACAAGTGAATGAGAATTTGCCATTTACATGCTCCTGAGCAGGGGCAGAGGAAGCTGCACACCAAGCCAGGAGATCCATGAGGCTCCCAGGGCCTCCCCTACCTCACAGTGCTTACTGAACTCTGAGGCAGGCAGTGACTGAGAAAACATGGACAAAATTAAAATGCCAAGGCAAAAACCTACTGGAAAAGAGAAAATGAAACACTGACACGATGACCATGCTTCTATCTATTACTCTCTTCCTCAACATTCTCCTTTCTCAGACCACACAAATTCTTCTCTCAGGGCAGTTGCTCACTGCCACATAATAACACTACAGATGTTGAAAGGAAAAAAAATTAAAAGAAAATGCTTTTCTTACCAGCGTTTTCCCTGGAAGCTAGTTGCCTGGTATTACAGTTGCAAAAGAGCATGGAATGGAAAAAAGTTTTTTTTCCAGGGAGGAAGCATAATTTTCAGCCAAAAAAACTCTGCATGAGCCACCTCCCTCCATTAGCCCCGTGGAGAGTTTTGAATTCCTCCTGGAAACCCTGACCTCGGCAGAAGCACAAAAGGTCTCCAGTACTCCCTGAGCACTCTCTTCTCTCTGAATCACTGCCCATCTCTAAGGAATGCACTGCTCTGGTAGGACCCTTCCCTTTTGCCCCATCCCTCTCATAAAAAACCACTCTGCACAGACTAGACTCACATTTCTGCAAATGACAGCGTGCGCAGCTAAAAGTTGGGGATGCACAGGATTACAAACAATGGGTCGGAGATCAGAAGAGATTACAGACCCGAGGCAAACATACGAGCTGGCAAGGAAGGCATTTAAAACCGACTGAACACTAACGGAGTTCGGGAGACTGCGACTCCTTCCCCATTCTGCATCCTTTCATCCCTAGGATGAGAGGGAAGTTTGCGGACCAGACAATGGCCTTCATTCCCCCTGGGCTAGCTGGGACGCGTCTCCTCCCAGCCCG